GCATGGCAAGCTACATCTGATGCTGTGCGTTTGAGACAGCAGACGCCTCACGCGCGGGCAACACATCACTCTCACGCACGCGCATGCAGTCGTCAGTCTTCCTTCTGTCCCACGCTCCGACCAACTCGGCCAGGGGACTGTTCGCGCCGAGGTTCTTCATGCCTGATTCATGACCTCTTTAAGTCAGACTTGCCTGACAACAAAGCCATTCTGCTTCCGCAACCCCTGTGTCTGTAACCTTGCTAGCCGACCTCAACACCACGTCGGCCACTGGACAGTGACTGTTACGGTTCTTAAGCAAACGAGACCATCATGACTTCAGAGAAGATCGACACGGCGCCTCTTCTGCCCTCGGCTTATTGGTCAAGCCAGCACGCCGAGACGCAAGAAAACGATGCGCCACTGCACTCCGAGTACTTTCAACGGGCCGCCAAATCTTCAGCCAAATCGAGGTTGACAGTATTTCTGGCTATCCTTTGCTCAATTCTAGTCCTGACGCAAGGTGGCTTCGCCTCGTGGCTCTCGCACAACGTCTCCATTCCCGACGACCTGCGCTTCCCGCGATGGAGGCCTGGCTGCAATCATCATTCTGCTCCGTCGTCCGGAGCTTTTGACGCGGAAAATTACCACATAGCCTTTCGTAACAGGCAGACATCGGCCATTGAAGCGCTCGCTGGAACCCTGCACAACGCCAAAGCTGCTCGGCGCGACGGGGCGACTGTTGCGGCTAGCGCTTCGCCACTGGGCCTTGACGTCGATGCGATCAACAAGCATTTCGAGCAGCTGTACTTGGCACAACCAAAAGCGGAGAGCGCCAGAGAGGCACTCAAGCGATACACCAAGGTAACGCATGTAGCGGGCACGGATGCTGACAAGGAGTCAGCTGTGGGCCTCGTGAGCGAGTGGGGCAGCCTGCTGGGAGCTGAAGTGCCAGACGACCCAGCCAAGCTGGTATTTGATGCTGGTTCTCACGACGCCATCCGATACATGACGTCAACGGGTCGTGAATTTGACCGACCTCAACGAGCAGAAATTTCGAGCAACGCACCTCACCGTCCTCTGGGTAGGCCGAGGGTGTGGGTGGACACATACAGCTCTTGGCTGAACTACCCAGTCTCTTCAAGCCTGAACCTGCGCAAGACGGACTCTCAAGAGGCGTACTGGCAGGCCAAGCTCAAAGAGGACGAGATCGATGAGCTGCCGAAGCTGAACTGGGATGTGCCTGTATTTCATGGCTACTCCAAGTCTGGCATCGCCAGCGGACCCATCGTTTACGCAGCACTTTGCACCAAGAAAGACTTTGAGGATCTGGCTAGAAAGGGCGTCAAAGTGGAAGGTGCCATCACGCTCTGCAGATACGGCGGTCCCTTTAGAGGCTTAAAGGTACGCGCCAGTGCCGACAACGGTGCCGTCGGCACGCTCATCTACAGCGACCCTGCCGAGGACAATGGCGTCACCGAAGCGAATGGCCACAAGCCTTACCCCGATGGACCTGCTCGTCAACCTTCGTCTGTGCAGCGTGGCAGCGTGCAGGCTTTGTCCATCGCACCAGGAGACCCTTCCACCATCGGATTCCCTTCTTACCGCAATGCCTCGCGCGAGTCACCCGAGACTGCAGACTCGCTTCCCACCATCCCTTCGCTGCCCATCTCTTTTGAAGATGCGAAAGCGCTGCTGTTGGCGGTCCAAGGCAAGGGTGTCAAGGCAGCCGAGGTAGGCGACAACTGGGTCGGACAGGTGCCGGGTGTCGAGGAGTACTGGACTGGCCCCAGCGAGGACATCGCATCGCTCGACAACCAAATGACCGACATTGAACAGGTACACGACATCTGGAACACGTATGCATACATTCCTGGACAAATACAAGATGAAATCGTCATGATTGGCAACCATCGCGATGCCTGGACATACGGTGCGGCCGATCCGAGCAGCGGTACTGCCGCACTCCACGAAGTCGTCAAGGGTCTCGGTGCTCTCAGAGCCAAAGGATGGGCGCCACTTCGCAGCATCATTGTTGCGAGCTGGGATGCCGAAGAGTATGGATTAGTTGGTTCTACCGAAGCTACCGAGGATTATGCTCATTTTTACCAGCAGAAAGTCGTCGCCTACCTCAACTGCGACGTGGCAGTGTCCGGTCCTGGTCTATCTGCGGGCGCTAGTCCTTCACTTTCGGATCTGCTGATCAAAGCTGGTGCCGCAATCATAGACCCCGATGGTGATGGCAAGGAGACGCTCAAAGTCGAGCACCCCCGCGCTCTCGGCTCCGGATCCGACTACACTGGCTTTTTGCAGCACCTCGGCATTGCATCTACCGATCTGGGCTTCAGCGGTGGCATAGGTGCAGCAGCTGCGAGCGATTTTGCTTCGCCGGAAAAGGCTGTCGACAGAGGAGCCAAGTTTGCGGGGCCAGTCTACCACTATCACTCGCGGTTCGACTCTTTCCCTTGGATGGAAAAGTTTGGTGATCCCACATTCAAGCACTTTGAGGCTGCAGCCAAGCTTCTGGGCTTGTCGCTTCTAAGGCTGACTTCCGAGCTCGACATTCCGCTTAACATCACGGCATACGCCAATGAGCTTGATCGCTACTACGACAAAGTCAACGACAAGCTCGAGACT